AGGTCAAGAGCATTTTGCTTTACCGCTTAAGTAGTTAGAGTGGCACTCTTGACAACATTGTTCTTGGTTCTTACATATTCTTAATTTCCTAGGAAGTTAGGTAAGTAAATTTACGGTTTTTGCCTTTGGTTTTAAGCTGAGGATTTAAAGGCATATTTTGAACTATTTTGAGGTGATAGCTAGACCTAACCCAATTTATGATATTATAAGCATGACATGTTTTCATATAAAGTGTTTATATTTGTTCTTTACTAAAAGTTAAGCATGCCTTTCTATGAGATACTTGCTAAAATATACTAGTTACATGAGATTCTAAAAAATGTGTCTTGTTTATATACTTGCATTGTTTTGTCTCCAACTTGGTCATGATTACTAATGCCCGCTAGTGGGAGCTTGGTAAACGTTAGCACATGTCAACATGTATTACTGTAAAACTACTTTATCCTATTATATTATAAATGCTTGCTAGTGGGAGTTTTGTTAAACATTGGTTATTATTGATGCACCTTAGTAAGAGTTTTGTTAAACATTAGTCATGACTAAACAAGGAAACTACTGAACGATGTTTATTATGCATTACTAGAATGTAACTGGAATTACCATCTTGATATTCTATACTTAGCATACTCTCTTTAAATTATAATGGGGGTATCCATAATTTACTTATTGAGATTTATCTCACACCATTTTTCTTGTTCACCATTTTAGATAACAAGACTAGAGACATTGGAATCGGGGCGAGTGACTAGCTAGATGACTAACTCACTTATACTATTGAATTAAGACTAGTTTTGGATTTTAGACACAAATATTTAGATGATTTAAATGATATTGAATTTTATGCATAAGTTGACTTAGATATTTAACTATAAATTTTGAATGATTTGAGATATTTATTTTATAAGGGAGTTTTAGTGGATTATTAGAAGTTATGAATTTTACATAATATACTAAATAGGTTCTGAATGTACTTTGTGCACTCATGGGACGCCTCACAAGTGTATAGCATCTATTTTGCACTTAGTTTTGAGGCATGATAAGATAAGTACTTGTGGCACTTTTGGACTTAAGCGGGGTGCATATAACACTCGAAAAAAATTTTGTTAGTAGGGTGCTTTGTTAAAAGCTTGTATGCGCTGTTGCAGTTGCAGCTTGCAGTAGATATAAAGGAATCGTGCTTGTCAACGCGGCTTTCCATTCTTCCTTTCTCACTCTCACAATTAGAGTAATTTCCATTTTTTTTTTTTAGAAAAAGGAAAAATATGGTGAATGAAGAGAAATATAAAGAAAACAACTAAAGAAAACATCAAGAGAATTTATTTATTTTAGATAAAGCATTCTTAACATCAACCACTCTCGTATCTCAAGTTAATCGTGTATATCTATCAAGTTTCTCAATTGATAGATATACAAAATCTTTAAAGAGACGCTTGTGTCCTATAGGTAGTAATTGGATTGCCATGTCATGCAGGAAGATTCATTACAAGCATACATCTAGCATCGTCTGGGCTATACGTGCGTCCAAGAAAAACCTTGACCATTGAATAAAAAAGTAGAGGGCAAACAAGTTTTAAGATTGACTTCTAGATTATCTAATGCACTAAGATCTCTAGATTAAGTAATAAAAAGTGATGAAAAGAATTATTATTTTCATAAGCATTATGACAAGGTAAATACTAAAAATAATAAATTCTAAATTTATTTAAATAATTAAAAAAATAAAAATATATAAATAAACATAACAATTTAAATAAATCCACTGTTCCTTG